TTAAGAATTTATTCTCTCTTCTTAAAAGAAATTAGTTCTAAGACTATTTACAAAAGTTGTAAAAGAGTCATAAAAGTCCCACGGAAATTTAAACAAAGGCATGACCACTAGCTAATTTATAGCCTACCTGTAACTAAAAATCCCTTATCTCCCCCCTCCTCACCCCTCACCAAGGACAGAGCAAATGGTTAATACAGAAAGGGAGGGGGAGAGGGGGAAAGAAAAGAGAGAAAAAAAGGAGAGCCATTTTAATCTGAGCAAGAAAGCCCTAGGTTTCAGCCTCTAAGCTTGGCAGGCAGCAGCGGAATTTTAAGACAGGAGCATACATAATGCCTCAGACCTCCACCAAGCCTGCTCTTCAGACTGGCCAGGGGGGTGGGGGGGAGCATCTGTACTTCAATGGATCAAATGTATAAATTTGCTTACTTTGCTTTTTCAATAAAGGTGCATACTTTAATTACTTAATAAGTTAGTTTTTCACAATATAATCAAGGTCTCATGTACTCATTTATATGAGAAGCCATTATTTTATGAGCGACTAGTTCTAATAAAATCCAAAGTAAAATTTGCTTATATATGCAAATAAGCACTAGCCAAAAAGAATGCTGTTTAGAAGTAAATTTAAGCTTAAAAAGGAGAAATTTAAAAATCTCTTCCACTACTATTTACAAAGTAAACTAAAAGTTATTATTCAAGCATTAAATCTCACCATTAATGAGACACCATAAGTAAAAAGAAAGTTACTTTTACTTGAGATATACTCATTGCAGTATTGGCCAGCAGCAATGGTCAAGGGTGGTCAGATTCTGGATATAGCTTACAATAGAACTGTCAGGATTTCCCAACAGATTAGATGTGAGTGAGAGAAAAAGGAGGTAAGAATTACTCCAAGGTTTTTAAAGGCCTGAAAAATTAGAAAAAATAGAGTTACTATCAACTGAGGGCGGGAAAGCCATATGTATTTTAGTGTGGTGGAAGATTAGGAATTTAGTCTAAACGCATTGAGTTTGAAGGCCTATTAGACCCCCATGTGGAGAGTCAAATAGATAGTTGAATATTAGTCTGGAGTTCAGGAGAAATATAAATTTGGCAGAACTGATCAGTGTTTCATATTACTTAGACAAGCCAAATAAATGTAAGATGGGATGCAAATGCCTCTATGCCTAGTCAACACTGTAAATGTGGGTAGGAAATGCATCACTACTGTTACAAGAGTCATCATAACACTGGTTTGCATTAACAGTTACACAACATGTGGTCGTCAGCCCAATACACTCTGTCTTCATCAGTTATTTGCTAGAGTTCTTTGCCAGACCTGCGGCTTAAAAGGAATGTGAAGAATTTGGAGAACGCCTGGAAAAGAGCCAGCCACCTAGTTGAATAAAGAGAAGGAAAATGATATCCAGTAAAAGTAAAAAGAAATGAGACCATTTAGTAAAACATTATTAATAGCAAAGAAGTCCGGATGCTTCATTGAAAGCAACTTGCCACCTTTAAATAAAATAAAAGGAAATGAGCTTTTATTTTGGCATAAAAGACTCAGATTGGAAATAAAAAGGGAAACTAAGACCTACTTAACACCTACTATATGAGGTGTTGGCCCAGGCACTATTGCACTTTAATCAACATGAAGACCCTTGAGGTAGAAATCCCCACTTACTTACAGATCAGAAAAGAGGGGACCCTAAGTGCTTAGGTAAGTTCCAAGTAGAAGAGCTGCAGTTTCAGTCTGGGTCTAATAAATCCAAAGTCCAAGCTCTTTAAAATACATCAAATTTCCAAACAGGAAAACTGATAAAAGTAGAAGCTGATTACTGAGAGAATAAAATAGTTTTTCCTAGATCTTTTTAAATTAGAAGAGATTCTTAATTGTCTAGAATAAATCAGTTTTCAAATTCTCTCCTAGTCCTAAACAATTATTATAATCTAGAATCTGAAGAAATCACACCACCAGCATCAAGCAGCACATGATATTTTTCAGGGAACTAGTCTTATTCCTATTTTTCTCTTCTATAGTAAAATACATATTCATCTTCCTAAAACATACACCAAATTCTATAACAAATTTCAAATTTTAAGTTAAGGTAATTCCATACACAATTAAGGGGTCAAACATCCTGGGCTTGATAGACCTTGTTTTGTTTGACTGTGATAATAAATAACTCTAAAGATATCAAGTAAGATATATTAAAAAAGATTTATGAGGGTTTGAGCTGTGCCCATTATGTAAAACACACACACACACACACACACACAGAGTAATTGTCTTCATGGACAAGAAAGCCTGATGCCCCAGTTGCAATAGCAGTACCACCCACTACTGCACATGACCAAGGTTTAAGCAGAAACAATCCAGCTGGTCAAAGAGCACCAGATTCTGTGTGAGCAACACTCTATGAGCTTGCTCCTTAGGAAGCTGCACATATTACACGGAAACTCCTAAGAATTTTCACTCAGCCCAGGAAAATTTCTTGAGTACAAGAACTAGAAGAAGCCCTAGAGAACATTTAGCCTAAAGCTTTGTTTTTTGTTTTGTTTTGTTACTTTATTTTTATTGTTGACACTATTACATATGTTTCTATTTCCCTCAGTTTGCCCACCTCCACCCAGCCCCAGTCCCAGTCCCAGTCCCAGTCCCAGTCCCAGCCCCAGCCCCCACTTCCCTCTAGCCATTACCGCACTGTTGTCTGTGTCTATGGGTTATGAATATATGGTTTTTGGCTAAGGTCCTCCTTTTATGAGAAAGTAAACAATGTGCAAAAGGTGCTGAGGATTACTGGCTGCAAGCTAGCTGAAACAGAATGGGGGATGTGTGTGTGTGTGTGTATACACACACATATATTTTTTTTAAATACATTTTTATTGATTTCAGAGAGAAAGGGAGAGGGAGAGAGAGGAGAGGGAGAGAGAGGTAGAAACATCAATGATGAGACAGAATCATTGATCGGCTACGTCCTGCACGTCCCACACTGGGGATCAAGCCCGCAACCCAGACATATGCCCTAAGTGGGAATCAAACCATTACCTCCTGGTTCATATGTCGATGCTCAACCACTGAACCACATTGGCCAGGCTAAAATTATTAAAAAAAAAAAAAAAGAGAATAAATCTCATTTTAAAAAATTTTATCTAATTAGAAAAAAATGAGCCAATTAATTTGCACACTTGAGCGAAATATGTACCTACTAAATACATAGTGCTAAAAATTATGATGAACAGATTGGTACAAAAAATTAGGTTAATTAGCGGTAAAGGAGAAGAGAAGAGAGAGGCAGCAAGAATAGCTTTTATTTTAAAGAAAACAAAAAGAACACATATACATTATATATAATTATATATATTATAGTATATACACTGAGTGGCCAGATTATTATGACCACCTGACGTTTGTAGGCAAATTAGCTATAATTTCGTGCTGAAGTTGCTAGAGGACCGGACCATTATAAATAGGGAAGCAGGTTGTTTACCACAACAGAAGTGATTTTTTTTCTGAAGATATGGTAAACAACACGATTTAACAGCCTTTGAACGTGGGATATATTTGAACATGAGTGGCCAGATTATTATAACCACCTGATGTTTATAGGCAAATTAGCCATACACTGCATCGTATGAGATATGGAAGCCGAAGGCCTGGTCGAACACCTTTTCTGTCTGCAATTACCAAGATAAAACATCTCCAATTCGCACAGGAACACAAGGATTGGACAGTCGAGCATTGGAAAAAAGTCATGTGGTCCAATGAATCACGTTTCCAGTTGCACCATGCAGATGGCAGAGTGAGAATTTGGCAGAAACAGCATGAAAGCATGCACCCCACATGCATGAGTACAACCCTTCAAGCTGGTGGGGGCAGTGTTATGGTTTGGGGCATTTTTCCTGGCATGATTTGGGTCCTTTAATTCATGTGGAACGACGTCTGAATAGCACAACATACCTAAGTATCATTGCTGATCAAGTTCATCCTATCATGTTGATGGTGTATCCCAATGGAGATGGCTTCTTCCAACAAGACAATGCGCCATGCCACAGTGCTAGTATTGTGCAGGAGTGGTTTCAAGAACATGAGGGAGACTTTACCTTGCTTAGGTGGCCCCCACAATCACCAGATCTCAATCCAATTGAGCATTTGTGGGACAAAGTTAAAAGAGCCATCAGGCAGCTGGTTCCACAACCATCAAATCTCACAGAACTGGACAGTGCTATTCATCAGGCATGGTGTCAATTACTCACATCACCTTTCAACATCTCGTGGAGTCAATGCCAAGAAGAATTGCCACAGTATTGAAGGCAAAAGGTGGCCCAACGAAGTACTGATGGGGTGGTCATAATAATCTGGCCACTCAGAGTGTGTGTGTGTGTGTGTGTGTGTGTGTGTGTGTGTGTATCCCACGTTCAAAGGCTGTTAAATCACATTGTTTACCCATATCTTCAGAAAAAAATCACTTCTATTGTCGTGGTAAACAACCTGCTTCCTTATTCATAATGGTCTGGCCCTCTAGAAACTTCAGCACGAAATTATAGTTAATTTGCCTACAAACGTCAGGTGGTCATAATAATCTGGCCACTCAGTGAGTGTGTGTGTGTGTGTGTGTGTGTGTGTGTGTATAACACCTTCAGAGTTGTAGTATCTCTCAGATTTCCTCTTCCCCACATTCCTTTAAGATTTCCTCTTCCCCACATTCCTTTAACACTAGGACTTCTCCTGTACTTCATATTCAGAGCCACAGACACCTACAGGTCAATGACATCTACCAACTGCTTCATAATTTTTCTTTGTGTCACAGAATCATAACTAAATTGAAAGCAATACTTCAGAAACAGAACTAAAAATAGCTTGGCACACCACTGAGTTTTCCATCATTTGAAATCTTCTTTTGAAGAAATGGTAACACCTTGGGACAGTCGATCCTAATTTCTAATATGTGACAACCTCCCTCAGCTACAGAGGGAAAGTATGTAAGCTGTATGGGAAGACGTGCAGGTCACCCCCTCCTTACCACTCAGAAGCCACCACAGCAAAGGGATGAACCCTGGGCTCTCACTGATGTACTTCAAGCCTTTCAAATTGATGCTCACGTTGTACAGGGACATCAGCATTAGCCTGAAATGCAAACAGAAGGTGGTGAAGTACTGGCCCCTCCACACTGCACTTCACCATAAATCCAGCTGCTGGTTAAGAGGACCTGAGCATATTTACACATCAGATGTCCAATTCTAAAATCTGGATGATAGCAAGAGTAAGCAGAAGGTATGTGAGGTAATATTTGTCTCTATGAGGCTACAGGAAAATGGGAAATTTTAGCAATAGCACCATAACATCAGCTCTTACAGGCTCACAGAATCAAGAGACACAAATGCAGAGAGGATCTCGTTACCAATACTGCATTTACATACAGGTAACCTTCAGATTAACCAAAGATCTTACCTATGGACACAGACAGTAGGGTGGCGAGGCCTGGGGAGGGGCGGGAACCAGGTGGAAGGAAGTAATGGGGGGCGGGGGAGGGGCAGATCTGTAATACTCTCAACAATAAATATTTTAAAATATATATATATATATGTTACATATATAATATATATAATAAATATCCCTCAATTCATAAATACACTGTACTCTGAAAGTTCAATTTAACTGCTTAAAATTTAGTCCTATCTTTCCATTCAGTAAATGCTATCCATGACGTCTGGGCAGCTAGGTCAGGCCATACACGCCTGATTTAATCCACAGCCTGAGGGATGAAAAACGCCATAACCCCAACCATTCCAAACAACCAACCAAGCAGTATGCGGAGTTAAATAGGATTTTATAAGCGGTCTTGGGAACTGACCTCAACTGGTAATATAGAGTCTAATGGAAATTGGAAAACTACAGGACTGGTTTCTGACGCTACTGCAAAATATAGACATCCCCAAAACTTCACACTGCAAATCCATAAAAAAGGCTACACAAATGTTTCACAAACCCTTAAAAGAATGGATGAGATTTCAAGAAATGAAGAAGGAAAACCTCTCTGATCAGGAACTATGTAAGTGAAAACACAAATTCAGGGAGGTAAGTGCTAAAGATGATAGATTTCAGAATTGCAGAGCTTAAGTATTAGTATTAGTGGCTTCATGCAGACAGGCAGCCTCAGACCAACACAAGACAGATTCAGATCACAGGCCCCTGCAGAAAGCCGGGAAAAAGTTAACTTTCAAGCTTGACCTATGGCCATACTTTTTGTATGGTCTGAAAATCCACAAGCCAATAACTTTAACACAAAGAGACCAGGGATAGGAGCTCCTTCAACTGCCTGGCCAAAGTAAACAAACATTCTCTTAAAGGGCCCTCAACCTGGTCTTCAAATAATTCCCAAAAAAACAATACTAACAAATGTGAGTTCGAAATAAAAATAAAAACATCCCCTGGCCAGTTTGGCTCAGTTGGTTGAGCATCATCCCATGCAACAACAACAACAAAAAAGGGTGCTGGTTAGATTCCTGGTCAGGACATGTGCCCGGTTTGAGGCCTCGATCCCCAGTAGGGAACATGCAGGAGGCAGCTGATGGATATTTCTCTCTCACATCAATGTTTCTCTCTCTCCTCTCCCTTCCTCTTTTTCTAAAAATCAATAAAAACATTTTTAAAAAATAAAAATAAGATAATGAAAAATGATATTATAAGTAACAGCACAAAGAACCAATGAGAGCCAGAATTTTTATTTTTACTTCTAGTAAAAGGTCATATACTAGAGGTATCAATTGCAGTATAGAAAAAGTGATTATGTTTAATAGGTGTAAATAATTTTTTAAAAAAATTAAAGCCCTAACCAGTTTGGCTCAGTGGATAGAGCATCGGCCTGTGGACTGAAGGGTCCCAAGTTCGATTCCGGTTAAGGGCATGTACCTTGGCTGCGGGCACATCCCCAGTGGTGGGTGTGCAGGAGGTGGCTGATCGATGTTTCTCGCTCATCGATGTTTCTAACTATCGCTCTCCCTTCCTCTCTGTAAAAAAATCAATAAAATATATATTTTTTAAAAATTAAAAACATGATCAAAGATCTACTGAGTATTAGAAATGACCAGTTGTAAATAAAGTCAGAATTGGGTGAGAAAAAAAAAAAAAGAAATGACCAGGCACTTCAAAAAACAATCCAGTAGAACTTACAAAAATGCAAACTATAATAATCAAACTGTAAAACTCAAGAGCAACTGACACATGGGAAAAGAGAAATACTACACAGAAAATAGAGCTAAAGAAATGGCAGCAAATAGCGAAGCTAGGAAGGAGGAAGCCCAGCAAGGCCAATCCCAGAACAAGGGAAGCACAAAACACAAAATCGGCCCAGGTCATGGCCAACTTCGAACTGCACCAGGGGGAGACTAACACCAGGAGCCAGGGGAGAGGACAGCTGGCTCCCCACAACGAGGTGTGGGGTTTGGTTGGTGACCACCTCAGGAGAGCCAGAGTTGAGGAGTCAGGTAAAGCTAACTACCTGCAAGGACAAACATCAATTCTTTTCAGGAAAAGACACCAGAGTCCAGAGTCCACAATGTATCTTCCGCAATGTCCAACGTACAATCGAATATTTAACTAGCAAGGCCACATGAGGTGAGCAGAGTAAGGCACTTGTTTGGGGCGCAAATTTAAGGAGTGCCAAAGTGCTCAGTAATCAAGATTGCAAATAATACTGCAATGCAAAAAAACATTTTTTTAACCCTCATTCAAGGATATTTTTCCACTGATATTTACAGAGAGAAAAAGGAGGGGGAGAGACACAGAGAGAGAAACATCAATTTGAGAGAGACACATTGATTGGCTGTCTCCTGCATGCAACCGAGGTAAATGCCCTTGACCTGTAATGGAACCTGGGATCCTTCAGTCCGTAGGCCAACACTCTATCCGCTGAGCCAAACTGCTAGTGCTGCAATGCAAAATTTTAAAAAATCAAATCTACTGCAAGGAACTCCACAATTAGCAATATATCAACATTTTAGATAAAGATGGGACAGTCACAGTGCCATGCCAAGACATAATGCTGCCCTCAGCAAAAGGAAAATCAGTAATTGTGATTGAATCCATTAAAATGGGACGGACAGTCATAAACGACAGGGCATGCATATACACGTGCCAGGAAACATGCTTTCCAGTTTTCTGTTGAAACAACTGTTTCCCCCTAAACTTTGTTTATCAAAAGCCAGCCCCATGGCTTGTTCGTCTTTACAGCCATATGGGCTGGCACCAACTCGGGACACAGTGAGTGCTCAGTGTAAACGTGTAAAGTGAGTGATTCCCAAAGGCCTGGAGCTGCAGCAGGCAAACACACAGCAATCGCTCCCCTTGTGCTCGCACGGCATTTTCAAAGTGCAGGCAGGGCTGGCATCCAGGCAGACACCACCACCAGCACCTCGAGGGAATAGCGCCCAGTTCTCATTATGATCCTCACTCTCCTCATAGGCCACAACATGAGCCAAAATGGCAATCCTTTCAAGTTTTCCTGACAATTTTTACACATAAGCAAAATCTATTCACTACTAATCTATTTAATGAGTTATTAAGGGCTATTCAAATGTCATATTCATAAGGAAAATTCAGCACCTCCACTAAATTTTTCTGAGATCTCTAATCCAATATCCCAAGAGAAAAGTTCCTACTTTAGATCACCAACACATGGCTGGAATTCTTTAAAATTAAGTGTATTGTCTATGCTGCTTTCACACCACAAGAGCAGGAATGAGTCATCACAACAGAGATCCTTTGGCCCACAGAGCCTAAAATATTCTCTATCTGGCTCTCTACCAAAAAAGTTTGCGAACCCCTGCTTTAGAACATGAAAATACCACAAGACAGTCTCCTCTAGATCTTAACCGGCAAAGTTAACATCTGAGTGATAACTGCAATATGGAGCAAACTCCAGAAAATGTGTCCACTTGAAAGTCTCCAATGACTCCATTTAATTTTAAGATGTTAAAAATGACTCACACCCTAGCCGGTTGGCTCAGTGGGTAGAGGGTCGGCCGAAGGGTCCCAGATTCAATTCCAGTCAAGGGCACGTACTTTGGTTGCAGTCTTCTCCCCAGCCCGGGCCCTGGTTGGGGCACATGCAGGAGGCAACCAATCGATGTGTTTCTCTCACATCAATATTTCTCTCCATCTTTCCCTCTTTCTTCCACTCTCTCTAAAAATCAGTGGAAAAATACCCTCAGGTGAGGATTTAAAATAATAATTCTATATAATAAAAGGCAAATAGACCAAATGGCGGAACCAAACAATGGTCGCTATGACATGCGCTGACCACCAGGGAGCGCACGCGGAACATGGCAGGCATCGGCCACGGCAGGATGGTGGAGCAGGTGAGCAGGGGCACCAGACCAAGGCGGAGTGCCGGATGCTGTCATAAGAGCGAGTCTCTGGTGCTTGCTGAAAATTCTTTGCTCCCTCGCGCCATGGTCCCACCCAGCATGCGCACCCGCTGCAGGCGCAGGAGCCGCTGCTGGCGCCTGGCTCTAGCCCCAATCGCCCCTGAAGGCTCCTCCACCTCCCAATGCTCCTGAGGGGCGATCGGGGCAGCAGCCACCGCTCGCACCCGCTGAGGCACTGGCCCACTCACACCGGCTGCTGGCGCTGGCCCCAATGGCTCTGCGCCATCAGCAAGTGGGAGCAGCAGCAGCAGGAGCAGGGCTGCTGGCAGACAGAGAACCAGGGGCTGTGGTAGGAGGGGCTGGGCAGGGGTGCGGAGGATGGGCCAAGACCCACCCCTGTGCCCACTGCAGCCTCGCAGCCCACAGTTCCTTTCAAGGTGCACGAATTTGTGCACTAGGCCCCTAGTAATAAAATAAAAATTACTCACAAATTGAATATCTTTAAAATTTCGCATTTGGTCAAAGTCAGCCCTCCTTAAGGAGTCAAGATGGAGCAAATGTAATTGTGATGACCATGGTGCCATGTGAGACCCCACGTCACTGCGAGGCTATATCTCACAGAAGACCAGAGACTTCTCCAAGGTCACACAAGACTTAGTAAACAACAAATCCAGAATGAGTTTTCCTTGCATGTGCTCCAACATTTCTATTCCAACCAAAAGTATTTTATAAATATCAAGTGTCCAACTGTCAAGTCAA